TCTCGATAATTATTTTAACACAAAAAAAATTGTGAATTTATAAATCTTTTCAAAAAAAAAGTAAGTATATATGTTCTTATCATAAAATTATATTTTATGGTCCATATTCCATGATTGCATTTTATTGATAAGAGAATAATGCATGATTCATATTAATTGATTTATATAATATTATTTTGACAAGAAATAAACATATTATCTAAGATAACTTCAATTCAATTAGAGAAGTTATATAAGTTTTTGTAACTAGTTAAAATGATTTCTATTTGTTGGGTGAAAAAAGTTCATGTATTTTATAATTTGGACACAAAATTTATAGTATTGTTTGGTTATATATGAAATTTTGACTGTTTTTAATGACATGAACCATGGTGAATATGACTTTAGTGTCTATGATCAAATAACTTTTAGGTGTCCAAGAATTGGAATGAAAATCTCAAAAGGAGACTATAGAAAGCATGAGTTTATTAGTTTTGAGAGTAATTATATTTGGTATCATACTTATTGATGCATACTCTCGTATTAAGTTGAAATAAAAGTTTTGAAACTTTTGTGTGAAGAAAATATTAAGATATAGAATATTTGTTAGTTATCTTTCACTAATGATGGATTTGGAGGATTCCTACTTAAAAAAAATTATCAAATAGTGAAAAGATAAATGAAATGGCAACTTGATTAAGTATATATAATATTTTGATAATTGAATGAGACATTCTTTTAATAAAAGAATGCATATGTGTACATGATGGAGGTGATAAGAATAAAAAGACATAAAAATTGCTATCATAGTGTTGTAAGATTTTAGTATAATTTTATAAGCAAATTAGACAAGCTAATAAGTTTAGTACAACTTATTAAAGAGTCAATTGTACTAGAAGAATAATTGTATTAAAATAGATAAAAATGTAGAAATAAAATAGTTGAAATTTTACAAGTATAGAGTTGTGGCCACAACTAATATCAATTTCTTAAAATGATAAGATTGATGAAACAATGTTTAGAGTATATAAATGACATGCAAAATGAAATGTTTGGACATGTTAACCTATAAAATAAATATATTAGAGATTCAATCTTAAGTGAAGGTAATTATCATAAAAGAAATTTGAAATCTAAAATATTTGGTTAGTAATACAACAAATAGAATGGATTTAAACCCTTACTATTAGACACCAATAATGGGAACCTGACATTGAATTAGTAACCTCTAATTACAAAGTTTAATGGATAAAAACAAGTTATTGTTATGTGTTTGTTAGGCACTAGTAAAATCTATTCAAATTTTAAAAACTAGTGTGATCCATTGCGTAGAGATGATGGGTTTTTATATTTTTAATGAAGTTTATTATTTAAATGTTTAAAGCAATGGAGACAAAATGAAAACTCTATTTATATAAACATAAAAGTGATACCATTTCAACAAGAAGAATTAGGGTCTCACTTGTAAATATTTATTAATAGGATAATTATATGACCATAATAGTACTAAAGTGAATATAAATATTTACAGAAGAATAAATATGTATTATGTGTATTATATCTTAAATTCTAACACTAAGAGTTGAAGTTTAATCTACAGATACCATTAATTTTGTTAGAATTTTAAGATATATATATATATATGCTAATTGAAAATTTAAATCGAAAGATATATTATTATCTTCATAATATTTATTTATGTGAAATGTTAAAAAATAAGCATCAACATTTCAAACTAGTGAGAGATTATTGGTAATTTAGATTATGATACATCTCACATTAGATAAAATGATTTAATTATTGATGAATAAAATTAATTTTTATCTTAAATTTTATTCATATTTAAATAATTATATTTAAACATAAATAATTATCATATAACAAATAGTCATAACTATTTGAATATAAATATATTATTATTCATAAAGGTCATAATTATACAAAAAGTCATAACCATTTGAATACAAGCTTAGTTTTATTCATTCATTATAAATAAATCTTTTAGTATAACCATTTTCATTACTTTGTTTAGAAAGTTTTTAGACTTTGTTATATCCTAAATGCATAATTACTTTTAAGAAAGTATTTTTTATGCCTCAAAACTAAAATTATTTTTTTATTTTTTCTATCATTTTATTTATTTTTTCTAACAATAACTACTTTTTATACAAATTTAGCTCTTGACATTTTTTTTTACTCTTCAATCTTTCAATTGATTTTTTATTTTTCGAGATTGTGTGAAATGTATAAGACAAATGGATTGGTTTTCGTGTATAGTATTTTGGTTTATATAATTAACATCTTCATCTATATCATAACTTTCACTTAGATTCTACTTTACCTTTGCTCTAAATTATACCAATTGAACCATGCTTGATTTATTAAAGAATTGACAATCATGAATATACAATATCAGCATCTGATTTAACTTTTTTTTATAACATATAATAGAAAACTTATTCTCAATCTTTATATATTCACTTACGAAAGTATACAAAGTTAAAGATTTCTTGAATATATGCATTTATTAATAAAGGAGCTCGATTTTACTCTATTGAATCTAATAGATTGATCACAGTGAATTTATAAAAAAAATGACCATAGCACAATGAGGGCTCAATTCTATTGATCATAAAAATAAAATAAAATGAAAGGTGACCTAGGCGCAATAATTTCATCATTTTCATATAAATTTTCCTTAATTTCTTTTTCATAGTTATAAGTATAACACCGACAATATCATAATTAAGAAGTAATTTCATGCATGCCCTTAACTGCCAAATACAAGATCGTTTTCAAATTAAGTTATGCAATACCAGGGCTGGTAGCTCAATCCACCTTTGGCGGGTTCCAACCTGACCCAATTTTGTAGGGTCAGGGTTTTTTTTTTTTTTGAAAATTAGGTTTCGGGTTGAGTAATATTAGAAAAAAATCAAATTTTAGGCAAACCCGACCCGACCCAATATATAAAAAAATTTTATTTTTTAATTTTTTAATTAATTAATTATTTATATATATTTATGTATTTATTTAATTTTATATTTATATTTAAAAAATATTTTATATTTTAAAAATAATATTTTATTAATTTTGGGTCAAGTCAAGTCGAGTACAGTTTATATAATATCAGGTTGGGTTGGGTTCGGGTATAAAAAAATAAAAAATTTTCTCGAGTCGATTTGGATTTTATAACTATAAAGTTGGGTCAAGTTCAGGACGAGCAAAAACCTATCCTGAATCGATCCATTACCATCCCTACGCAATACTACTTTAATTGTCAATAAGAATATCCATTGAGCTAAAATTTATAATTCTAAAAATGTTCAAATTATATTGTTTGATCAAATTATATAGTTAATCCATCTATTTTAATGTGTTCATATTAAATCTTTATACATTAATTAATTTATTAAAATATTATACTATAATATATCATACCATATTAAGGTTCATTTAGATGGACGATGAGATTGAAAATAATAGTGGTAGTGAGATTAATTATTGTAGTTATGAGATTAAAATTAATGATGAAATATTTGTTTGGATGTAAATACAATAGTAACGATAATATCAAATGTAATGAAAAGATAAAATGACAATTAAGGATATTAGATTAAAACTTATATATAATAAAATTTACAGTATATATATGATATTTATTACATTAATAAATAATTAAAATTTATTTATTGTATAATAATAAATTTTATTTATTAATTAATTTATTATATAATAAAATTTATTTTTTTATATTAAATTAACTAAATTATTTTGTAAATTTTAAAAATAAATTATAATAAAAAGAATAAATTATAATGATATTTTTGTCCTTAAAACTAAATTTGAAGGACAAGAAAAGAAGCAAAAAATATGAAGATGGCACAGTTGCTCACTTTGCTTACAGAAAAAAAAGGTAGTTCAATCCGAATTCGATAAATTTCAATTAAATATAATCTTTTAGGATCAATTTATTTTTGTGAAAATCAAATATCGGATTAAAATCAAATTTTAGATAAATTTGATTCGATATATATAAAAGATTAAGATTGCACGATTGCTCACTTTGCTTGTTGAAACAAAAAATTTCCGTGGCTCATTGGTTCAATTGCATCTAAATATAGCCTCAATTAATTATTAATTATAAAAACCTGATCTGCGTGCATGCCATCTTATCTAATACTTATAGGATATCTTACAATAAAATTATTTTATGCATTAATGATTAAGTGTTAGTTTTCAATGGGTGGATATACAATGAATATTCGATTGCTTTATAAATTCGATTGTTTTAATCATATTTGATGTGTCATTGATTTAGATGACAATTCTTTTTTTATAAAAATGAAAGAGTTTGATTTAATACATGATTTTTCATAAGAATATTAAAAAAAAAAAAAAAAACCCATCTTATAATGAAGATCCTCTTGTTGGAAGAAGATTGAAGATCCAAAATTCTAAGAGAAATTGATGTGTCATTGATTTGGATGACAATTCGTTTTATAAAAAATCAAAGATTGTGATTTAATTCATGATTTTTCTTAAGAATATTAAAAAAAAAAAAACCCCACCTTATAATGAAGATTTCTTGTTAGAAGAAGAATGAAAATTCCAAAATTCAAAAAGAAAATACCCCATAAAGAAAAAAATACCTATCATTATCTACCAATAAAAAACATAAAAAATTGATTATTCGTCGGATAAGTTAATATATTATTAAAATTGATATTTAAAAATTATAAATTCAAAAACTTTTATCTTTTTTTTTTTTTTCAATTAGATATATAGTAAATTAAAAGGGTTTAAGAATGTATTAAAAATTAAAGAAAAAAAAAGACACTTATAAATACAAAATCATTTTGTTCAAAAATAAGCAAAAGCCAAACACCTCACCTTTTTTTTTTTCTCTCTCTCTGCCATTTTCCCTATTTTCGCGATCGACAAGTTCCCTTTTATCTTCTTCTAAGTTATAACCCAAAAATAATTAAAAAAAAAGTTATAACTCAAAAATAATTAAAAATAAAAAGAAAACTTTTTTCAAAACTTAACAAGAAAAGATTTTTAACAGAAATCATTTGAAAAAAATTGAGAATGTATACATTGAAAGATAAAGTAGCGGGGAGTCTTTCAAGTTTATTTGCAGATTCACCAAATCATTCTTCTCCTTCTTCATCCGATCTTTCTCAGGTTATTTCTTTTTTTCTTTTTGTATGTATTGTTTGAGAAACTAGATCTGGGTTTTCATGGGAAAATTATGTTTTCTTTGTTTTATTTATGATCTTTGGAAAATACCTGAAATTTGTTGATTTGGGTTATAATTCTTTTTTTTTTTTTTCATTTCGTTCATAAAATTGTAATTTTTTCTCATAAAAATATGTTCTTTGTTTAGGCCTAAGATAACCCACTTCATGCGTTGGTCTAAATTTATGTTTTTCATTTCAGTTTCAATTGTAAAACTTTAAAAAGTGGTCTTTGGATTGGTCATGTAAATATTTTTAATTTCAAGTTTCTTTTTTTTTTTTTTTTGGCTATTTTATGTTTCAGCTATTTTTGTATAATTTGAAAGAGTCAATAACTTCATTGCCTTTTAAGTTTTAGATTTACTTGTGAATTTTAGTTCAGTGATTTGGTGACGCGAAATTCTTGAATGTGTAGGCCAGATGGTATTCCAAAGGAACAAAATCTGTGTCTTCAATTTTTTCTCATATTATCCCTTCAGTAAGCTTCGGTGGTTCTAAATTGAATGATCATGGAAGTGATCTCAAGCCAATTCAGTCACTTCCTGTTAGATGGAAAAATAAGAAATTTGAGGTGCAAGATGAATCCTTGGATAGCTGTAAAGAATATATCATTACTTATGCAAATGAAGACTTAAAAAAGGTCTTTGAAGATAGGAATAAAATTTGGACAGATAGTGACAATAAACAAACGGATAGTCCTCATAGTGAGGATAAGGACCGCTCCTCAGAAAAGAGCAGCAGTGATTCTGATGAATTTCAAGAAGCAAGAGAGCAACAGAGTCCAGTAAAGCATTCACCGTATCTTTCTGATGAATCAGTTTTTATTAGTTGTGATTTTTACGAATTCTTGGTGTCTTCCCTTCCCAATATCGTTAAAGGGTGCCAATGGATGTTGTTGTATAGGTAAGTCTTTGGTGTAAGCTGCTTTGTACTTTTGATTTTGGATCTTGATTTGGTATTTACTCTTTCTAATGAAGGGCAGTAGGTTGAAACATGGTATATCACTCCGTACACTTATTCGTAAGAGCACTGAGCTTCCTGGTCCTTGTTTGCTGGTATGTTGATGTTTATAAACTAATGAATGCAATTGTCATTAGAGCTTGTCTATCTGAATTTTAATGCTTAATTAGTTTTTAATACATTGGATTATTTACATGGTGTCGTACAAATTCTAGATTACTGGAGATCGTCAAGGAGCTGTCTTTGGTGCAATGCTAGAATGTCCCTTGAAACCCACACCAAAGAGAAAATATCATGCTATCTGGCCTGTTTCAGTTATGAATATAGTTTTATGTACATGATGACTTGGTTTCATTTTCTGATTTGCTGCATGTTTTCCATGCTTCTCTAATTCCTTTCATTTCTTACTCTGTAAACTATGATTCTGCCACCTTCTTAGCATTATTTCTCTTGTTTTATGACAGGGAACAAACCAGACGTTTGTATTCACAACCATATATGGTGAACCAAGGCTATTCAGAGCAACTGGTATGCTATTTTGGCAAAGCATTTTATGTATTTTATTTCTTAGATACTGTAGGGAACATATTAAGACAAATCATACGCATGTAATGAGATAGATAAAGAGAATGATTAATTTAATGTATGACTGCTAATTGAAAGATGTGATTTCCATCATGCTGCTATTAAAACCTCCACATTCTTCCTATGCAAGAGTGGAGCTTATGATGTAAAAGACAGGATATCAAAGACTGAAGAGTCTATCAAGCTCTAAGGACAGTTCTGCTTCAACCTCATATTGAATTGATGGTGAAATATGGAAGAATGTTTGGGAAATGAAGGTGCCAAGCAAAATTAAGAATTTTTTTATGGAAAATATGCAGTAATGCCATACCAGCTAAACTGAATCTGTGGAAAAGGAAGGTGGTAAAAAGCCCTGTTTATAGCTTATGTTCGAGGGAACAGGAATCAATAGAACAAATGTTATTGCAATGCGATTGGACCCGAGGCATATGGTTTGAAGCATGCAAGGGGATAAAAGTTCGAAAACAATCTATAACCACGTTTGATAGATGGTTTATGTAGATTTTCATTTTTTCTCAAAAAGGAGAATCAATTAGAGGTGATGATTTGGGTTGCCTTCACTTGCTGGTATGTTTGGAAAGTAAGATGTGAAATTGTGATCGGCAAAAAGGAGATTGAATTGATACCTGTAATTCAGATAATTAAGGTAGCTAGTAATGAGTGGTTGAAGACTAATGAAGAGCTGACAAAAATGATGATGTACAGAAGTGTGCAACAGAAGAAAGTTTTGGGCAGATGGCTTGCACCTGAAGAAGGATGGATCAAAATAAATAGTGACAGGGCTTTGGATGCTAAAACAAAGGATGTTGGTATATGTGTGGTTGTCAGAAATGCAGAAGGAAGAATTTTGGATGGGATAAATAGGAAGTTAAAAACTGAGAATGCACTGATGGCAGAAGCCATGGCTTTTAGAGAAGGGGAAATCAGGGCGATGGTAAACAATAGTAAAGTGATATTTGAAACAGATTCACAAGAGCTACATTCTAGTGTTCTCAGTAAAAAGAAAGTAATGGAACGGAGAATCAGGCCTATAATTAGGGGTGTAATCGAGCTGAGTCGAGTCGAATAGTGAGAAGCTTGAGCTCGAGCTCGACTCACAACTCGGTGCTCGATACTCGGCTCGAGCTCGATCGAGTTTTATTTTTCAAGCTTGAGCTCGATTCGTGATCAAATTCGAGCTGCTCGAGCTCACTCGATTAAGCTCGATTTATATGTAAAAATAAGCTTGATTCGTATACTCGACAAGAGTTCGATTATTCATGCTCGAACTCGAATTCGAACTCGGACTCGAAATATTTTATTAATTAAAATAATAAAAATATATTTAAATATAAAAGCTCGATTAGGCTCGCGAGCTACTCGAGCTCGAGCTCGACTCGATAATAATTGAACCAAATTCGAGTTTTCTTCGAATCAAACCCGTGTAACTTGCGAGTACTAATGTATCATTTACACTCTTACCTATAATAGTGGATGTGGTCAGCTTGTTGAAATTGATACCTGTTAAAAAGGTTGAACTGATTAGAAGAGATGCCAATGAGATGGCAGATAAGATAGCAACCTAGACTAGAAAGGGAAATTGCCAGTCAGGTTGGAATAGGCGTATTCCATCCTCAATGGTGGGAATCTTGAATAGAGACGGACTGCCAGCACGCCTTTAGAATAAAAGCTCGTATTTAAGTGAGCTGGGCTTAGGGACCTACCTTTGTACGTTCTATTACTTAGTCCTGAAGTTTGGGGTTTCTTAGACTTGTGTTACTCAACATGGGTATAAATGATATAGTGGTACTCATAAATTACTCAACTTCGATTTGAATAAAACTCGAATTCGACTTGATTATTATCAAGTTGAGTTCGAGCTCGAGTAATTCGATTTATCAATCAAATCGAGTTTGAACATTCTTATACTCTATTGGAGCAACTCGCAAACTTAATCAAACATTTATATTTAAATATATTTTTATTATTTTAATTAATAAAATATATCAAACTCGAGTTCAAGCACAAATAATCAAATTTTTATTGCATATAAGAATTGAGTTTATTTTTACATACTAATCAAACGAGCTCGAATAGCTCAATTTCTATTTCGAGTCGAGCTTAGTCGAACTCGAGTTAAAAAAATAAAATTCGATTGAATTCAAATAGAATTTCAAGTCTCAAATTCTGAATTGAATTCGAACTTAAATTTCATATTATATCGACTCGAATCGAATTTGATCTATTACACTCCTATTACTTAACCCTGAAGTGGGACTTGGGTTACTTAGTCCTGAAGTTCGAGGTTTTTTGGGACTTCTTTTACTTTGTATCGGTGATCAGCAATGAAATGACTGAAAGTCGCCTTTTCCATTTCCATCCAAAATTTAGGTTTACCTTCCTCCTTGGCCCTTGCTATATTTTGCCTTTCGTCTTTCCCTTTTTCTTACCTGCTTCTGTTTCCCCTTCTCTTTCCATCGTTCTACCAGCCACTTGTTGGGCTAAAAGCCTCTAATCCAATCACACCAACGGAAGCGAAATCAAACAATAAATCAAACACACAAGAGACAACAATTTAATGTGGTTCGATCCAACTGACCTACATCCACGGATGAGAAACAAGATCCTCTAGTTTTAGAGAATTACAAACATACATCAAATTATCAACCTCACTCAACAATCAATACTGATAAGACACTCTCAATCTCCTTTAGTCCTATGGAGTATTCTCAACCCAAACAAACACAAACCCAAACCCTTGTGCACCCTTTCAACATAACCAAACACATACCCATATGCTCCCATACATCATACCTATGTGGACCCTCTCAATCTCCTCTAGTCCACTCACAAACAAACATACACACCCATAAGACGTAGAGCCCCAATACTCCCATGGGATGTCTATCTCACAAAATCCTACAACTCTTTTACATCTTTTTCTCATACCTAACCCTGTAGAGACTTCACCTATTTATAACCATACAAACTTGTCCATTAAGAATCCCTCTCCTCTTAGAATTCTTCTCTTGCAAGTCAAACTTACCTATTAAGAATCAATTTCCTTTTAGAATTCTTCTCTTGCAAGTCAAACTTACCTATTAAGAATTCTTTTTTTCTTAGAATTCTTCTTTTGCAAGTTTTCTTGTCTATCAAGCAATATTTGACAAATCCCAAATAATCTCTTATGGGATTTGAGTCAATATTCCCAACAATCTCCACCTTAACTCAAATTCCATCAATCATCTGTCTTCATGCTAGACATGCTTGGCTCCACCTGCAATGAAAGTCTCACAATCATCTTCTCTTCTCTTGTGTCTTCACGCTTCATACAAACCAATTCTCAATCTTCAAAACTTGAATTCGAACTCTTCTCTTGAATTGAGCTCTTCTAAGCGTATTTTTTCTCGTGTCTTAAATCAAGCTCTTCCCACATCTTAAACCTTTAACTTTTCCACGTCTCAAACCTTCGGCTCTTTTCACATCTTGAATCTTCAACTCTTTTCACGTTTCGAACCTTCAGCTCTGATACCACTTGTTGGGGAACACCACAGCTCTGATACCATTTGTTGGGCCAGAAGCCTCCAATCCAATCACACCAGTGGAAGCGAAATCAAACAATAAATCAAACACACAAGAGACAACAATTTAACGTGGTTCGGTACAACTGACCTACATTCACGGATGAGAAACAAGATCCACTAGTTGTAGAGAATTACAAACATACATCAAATTATCAACCTCACTCAACAATCAATACTGATAAGACACTCTCAATCTCCTCTAGTCCTATGGAGTATTCTTAACCCAAACAAATACAAACCCAAACCTTTGTGCACCCTTTCAACATAACCAAACACATACCCATATGCTCCCATACATCATACCTATGTGGACCCTCTCAATCTCCTCTAGTCCACTCACAAACAACATACACACCCATAAGACGTAGAGCCCCAATACTCCATGGGATGTCTATCTCACAAAATCCTACAACTCTTTTACATCTTTTTCTCATACCTAACCCTGTAGAGACTTCACCTATTTATAACCATACAAACTTGTCCATTAAGAATCCCTCTCTCTCTTAGAATTCTTCTCCTGTAAGTCAAACTTGTCTATTAAAAATCTATTTTCTTTTAGAATTCTTCTCTTGCAAGTCAAACTTACCTATTAAGAATCCTTTTTCTCTTGGAATTCTTCTTTTGCAAGTCTTCTTGTCCATCAAGCAATATCTGACAAATCCCAAACAAATCTCTAACAAATCCCAAACAAATCTCTTATGGGATTTGAGTCAATATTCCCAACACCACTAAGCACCTGCAACCACCACCCTCTTATGTTCCTTGCGGCACTAGTGGCCACCACCTTGCGGTAGCGGCCACTACCTCATTTTCTCTTCTCCTCACTACCACTAGCCTTTTTGGCGTCAAATCTCCGACCACCGTGAGCTTTTCAAACCCCACGGTTATATCTCAGGCCGAAATAGTTCAGGTTAGATTATTTGCAAGTGTTACCTATTTTCAATAATTTGTTTTTGCTTTTCATTGAGAACTTGCATTTTAAAACAGAATATAATGATATGATTTGGATAAAAAAATAATATAATTTAAAATTTTTATAAAAAATTATATATAAATTTAATAAAATAAAAAAAATATTTTTTATTTTCATATTTATTATGAATTTTGATATATAATTTTCGTATAAAATATGATACAAATACATACATTATCGATTTATATGATATGATACACAAATTATAATGTCTAGATAAAATCTAAATTTTGAGTCATGTCTAGATTGAGGCTAAAATTTCAACGAATGTTGTAAATTTAGAATTTGTTTTTGAAGTGTTTTTTTTTTTTTTAGGTTGAAATTATAATAGACGAAATGATTTTTTTTTATTCTACATTTCTGGATTGAAAAGGGAGTAGGGGCGAGGCCGCTACACCGCTGTTGGATCGCAAATTTAAATCCCGCTGTAGACGGTAGAAATGGTTCGTTACTTCTCTCTAGCCATCCCTTTTGGTGTTAAGAAGCTTTGGGACAAATGGAACATCCGAGGGGCGATCTTGTTTAGTCTCTGGTTGCAGATCGTGTTGATTTTTTTGGCCCCAATCAGAAAATCAACAAGGAAAAAATTTGTAATCTTACTCGTCCGGTTTGCTTACTTGTTGGCTGACATAGCTGCCAATTTTGCCGTTGGTCTTATCACCAATAATTCTGACCTGAAACCCAAGGAAGGCATTGATTTATTAGCATTCTGGGTGCCCTTTCTCTTATTACACCTTGGCGGCCCTGATACCATTACTGCTTTTGCTCTTGAAGACAATCAATTGTGTCGAAGGCACTTGCTTGGCTTTGGTTTTCAAGCCACAATTATTGTTTATGTATTCTTCCAGTCACTTCCCAACAAAAATCTATGGATCCCTACAATACTCATTTTTACTGCGGGAATCATCAAGTATGTTGAGCGGACATGAGCTTTGTTTCTTGCGAGCGCGGACAAATTTCGTGATTCCATGCTAAACTCACCGCCCAATTGCTCCATGCTTATGAAGGATCTCGTTTACGGGAAAGTGGCCAGACGTAAACCGCGACAAACTTATCACATATGTGGGAGGGGTGTTGCACAGGGTACTTCTACTCTACCCGAAAACGTAGATGTTGCACAGGCTTCTTTTACTCCACTCGAAAAAGACCCTTCGGAGCATCTCCTATTGGTGAAAGATGCTTATCAGTACTTCCAAATATTCAAGGGACTCGTAGTCGATCTCAACTTCAGCTTTCCTAAAAGTGATGAACGCCGTGACTTCTTCGATGAGACAGCCGAAGACGCTCTGAAGTTAATTGAGATTGAACTCAACTTCATGTACGAGTCTCTCTATACCAAAATGGAAGTTTTGCGTTCTATTACCGGATATGTTTTCCGATTCACAGCTTTTCGGTCAGTTTTAGCAACTCTTGGACTCTTTTGTTTCCAAGTAAATAAAGATGAATTCCACAAAGTTGATATTGGGATCACCTACTCCTTGCTCCTCGGTGCCATTGCCCTGGATGTAATAGCATTCTTCATGCTTATTTTCTCAGATTGGACTTTTGTTTCAATCGACATCCCTAAATATCCACACCGTTGGTCCCTGGCAGCTGTCTTCAACAGTTTCCTTGCCCTCAAGATGCCATGGTGGCAACCTTGTAAATGTAAGACAAAGAATAAAGAGAAGGATGTGCAGCATCATGTATTGGTCACACCCCTTGTGTTTCGAAGGTGGTCTGGATCCATCCCAACTCACAACCTTATAAGGTATTGCCTGGAAAGCAGTATAACCAGAATCCATAAATTCCCGAGTTTGTGGGGAATCATGTTTGAAAAAATCCTTTGTTTGTTGGGAATCAATGAAGTCACAAAGAAAGTTAGCGATTATATGATCATGATCAAGAGAAAAATCAGTCCGTCTAACACCTCTCTTGCTGAACGGGCCAAATCTTTTAAATGCAATGGTTCGCTGGGCTCTTGGATCAACAAAGTCACTGGATTTTTTGGTCACATTTTCAGATTAATCACTATGCCTATTAAGAATATCGTGGACGAGATGATGTATGTGTCCCTTGAGCCATTCACTAAGGAGCTATGGGAATTTATCTTTGAAGAGGTAAAATATAAATCCGAGTCCGCGGATACTTCAGAAACAAAAAAAGAAAATACTCAGCCAGAGGTGATTGGGTTTTGGAGCATAAATATTCAGAACTCGATGTTAGCGAGTTACTGAAATATGTGAGAGATGTTGAATATGATGAAAGCATTCTTTTGTGGCACGTGGCCACTGATCTTTGCTACTATACTGACAATGAGAAAGTGAATGAAGCTAGTTCGAGTAATAATGTATATATGGGAAAAGCACCGACTTATCGACAATTTAGCAAGATTCTGTCGGATTACATGCTGTATCTTTTAGTTTTTCATCCAACTACGGTATCTTCTGTGGTGGGTATTGAAAAACTAAGATTTCGAGACACTTGTTCTGAGGTTGAAACATTCTTTAAGGAAAAATATTTACAACCAAATCAAGACAAGGAGGCCTGTGAACAAATTATATTTGAGTATGTGGATGCTGGATCTGTTGGACCAGAAAGAAAAAAAAGCATGACTGTGTTACTCGAAGCAACTAAGCTAGCCACAGAGCTAAAGAGGATGGAAAACGAAGAAGGCAAGGACAAATGGGAGTTATTGAGCTCAGTGTGGGTGGAATTAGTCTCATATGCGGCAATTACTTGCAGTGGAAGTACACATGCTCAACGGTTAAGTAACGGTGGAGGGCTTATCAACTTAGTTTGGTTGTTGATGGCTCATTTTCGTCTTGGGTAGCAATTCCGAGTCTAAAGACTTTGAAGAGACAAAATCTATGGTGGGAAAGTAAACAAATTGATTCTGCAACTCTCAATCAAGAAATAATGTGAAACTGGAGTAGCTTAACTGTTGTGTTATTGTGGAATTTTTTTTTTTGGGGTTTCTTGCTTGTCCATTTCTACTGAATCACGTATTATCTTAATTGCAAGAAATTAAAGAGATTAGTACTATTGGTAATATTCTTTTTTCATGCTTACAAATTACAGTTCTTACATTTCTCATAAAAAAGCGAAAAATTACAATTTAAACATAGCACAGGTGAGTACATCAACTTTTCGATTTTCATATGTATTTGATGAGGAATAATAATGGGGAATAAAGTCTAAAAAAAAAAAAAAGAAAACGAGGAGAAATTTGGTTTCAAACCCTAATTCCAACGAGAGAAGCTAATTGTACATGCCAGTGCGTTGTACTCTTACGTTGCGATTTGTTTTACCAAAAACATATTTAGCTTCCACAAATAAAAAAATAAATAAGATATTGAAATTTTTAAAAAATAAAAAGTTAAAATGAAGTTTGAGGTGAAAATGCTAGCTTTTTAATTTGAATTTTATATAAAGATCAATTACTAGGACGACTAATGAAGTTGGTACACCTATAATATTATATGTAAATATAGATTGTGCTTGTTATTTAGACTCATAATTCACTGGAACAAATAAAAAAAAAAAAAGAAACGTTTTCTTTTTTTGGATACCCACAATTAATTTTCTTTAAAAAAAAAAAAAACTTTAGATATATGTTATTTAAAAAATTACAATTGATGTAACAATAATAAATCTAAAAATAATTTAATCTACAATACAATTTTTTTTTTAAGGATTTACGATTGAAGGAGTACATAATCCTATAAATTAATTAATTTGAAAGTTTGGAAGTTGGATCAATAATAACTTTTAAATTTTGATACAAGAATAAAAATAACTTCTACCTTAATCATTCTTTTCCTTTTTGATAAAAAAGATAGCGCAATTAAGTTTGAAATATTATTATTGTAACTCAAAAAGGATTTTTTGAATGGTATCCACATATGAGTCATATTAAAATAATACTTTTAAGAGCGTTTTGTTTGTGAATTCTTAAATTTTAAAAAAATAAGAGATTTTTAAAAAAATGATAGTTAAAGAGAATAAATGATTATTATATTTTATTTATTTTAAAAAATATAAAATTTTTGTATTTGGTTCAAAAAATTTAAAATTATCTTATAATTTTTTTTTATTATATTATTTTTTAAATAACATGTGATAAAATAATTAAATAATTTATTTATTGAACTTGCAAGTAATTTATTTAAATTAATTTATATATTTATATAATATGTAACTTATATCTATAAATTTAATATGTAAATTTAATATTTTTATTTATTTAACATAAAAAACACGTTTATTTATGACATTTATCTTCAATTTCATTAAAAAACGACCATTATTTTTAAACAAACGTCATATATTGTAATTAAGAGGACTCGATCTTTTATTTAACTTTTTCAGTTTGTTTAAAAGCTTACTTTAAAGCCAGGTCCCATCGACAATTAACGATGGTGAGAAAAAAAAAAACCAAAGGAAATTAATTCCAAAAAAATTTATGTTTCAAAGTAAACTAAGCACTGTCCTATTGTGCCGATGATGGTGAGAAAGAAACCAAAGGCGGTGTAGCCTTGTAATGGTCATAACTCCAACTATGTCTTCTTGAAAATGGCGATGGTGTACAGATGTGCGACACAAGAAGAAATGGAAATCTTCTCAGTTGGTTTGTCAATGAGCCACCTACATCTCTCCATTTTTTTTTATAATAAATAGGAAAAGAGAGCGAAGGAGAGTGGGGAATTGTCGGCTTTTCTTCTCTCAGTTGACTGTTTCTGTCTTTGGCGGCGAAAGTATATGATATATTGAGTGGCTAGCGGCAAAAGCAGAAAAAGGGACAGCTTCCCCAACCAAGGATCTTATATGGGTTTTGAACAAGATATCTTTGTTTTGTGCCTGATTTTAATAAAAGCATAAAAGAATTAGAGAGAATTTTGGTTGATTATGTGGAGTTACGATTTATATGTGAGTAAAAAATTTTATATTAGTAAGAAATTTGAATGAAATATCTTATACATGTACGAAAGATCTAATAATCTTATAATTTAAGTTTTTGAGCTCAAGTGGTATTCAAAATTTATGTATAGGCTCTCTAATGTGTTTTCATGGACTCCAAGTGTGGTTTATCTACCTAACAAGTGATTTCAAAACCAAAATTGTAGGTTTGAGTCACAGTAGTTTTGTTGGGGAAGAGATTGTTGGTCAATCGGAGGTTGATCACATTTATCAGCTCCATGTGCTTAAACGTCAATATTAAAATATTAGATTTGGATGCAGTGAGTATATGATAACATACAGAAACAGAACACCTAAGTGAGCGACGTATTGAGTCAACCTGAAATGTAAGTTTGAGGGAGTACTGAGACAACCTAAATGGCAGGATTAAGTGCTATGGCTTGGCCTAAAAGCACACCAAAGATGTGTATGATTCACATGTGAATAAAAAATTTCACACCATTATATATGTATGAAAGACCAAAAAATCTAATAACTTAAGCTTTTGAACTCTCTGATATGCTCCCATGAATTCCAAATATGATTTATCTTCCTAACACATCAAGCAAAGGTTATTTCAGAAATTGATTAAGAGTCACAAGAATAAAAAATAGACTCTTTAGCGCCCCTTTACAAGGAAGAGAAGATGTCCCCTTGGTTGTACAAGATGAAGTGAAGAATACAAAAATGAACTTGTTTCAGTTCAGGAAGACAATATATATATATATATATATATATATGAAAATTAGAGGACGGTTGTTTGTCCAAAGCGTAGTCTATTATGAAATATAAACTATGTAAGTTTTCAGTTTATATTTAATATATGATAACGGCTATTTTTTCAGATTTAGTTTATGATCTTATTAGGCTATGTTTATTAATTTTCAAACACAGTCATATTGAATAAAAAGATAATTTAATTATTAATTAATTCTATGAAATAAAAATCTCAAATATTTTTTTTTATAAATTTTGATGATTTATTTGTTATTGATTTGATTGTAAGTTTTTAAAATTGAGTGGCCAAAATAAAAATTTTTAAAAAGTTAAATGATCAAAATTTATTTATTTTTGTAAAATATATAATGCCATATTTACAATGTCACATTGCTTGTCAAATAGAGTGATAGTGTCGGGTGACACTTGACAATTCGTTAGGTACTAACTATCGAGTGATAAAAAACTACTTATTTAAATTTAAGTGATTAAATTAAAAAATTAATACTTAATAATCATTTTAAAAACACCCCTTAAGTTGGACTACTATTTGTGTATTTTATCCGTATATATGTGTTAATTTTGTTTGTACTTGAATTTTGCAAAAATATAAAAATTAGTACTTAAAAAAAAATAAAATTTACAATTTACATAAAAATGTCAAATGGGTTGAGTAGCGTATGGAACGCCACAATTTGGCAAGATATAGATTGTGCTTGCGCTATTAAATAATCAGATTAGATCAAACACAATACATATATATGTGTCGTACTGAACTAAAAGTTTTTAAGCCTAACACATGGCACATAAGCTAGCACGGCATGATATACAAACCCAAATATGTCATGTCATGTTGACATATAATTGTTATAAATGGGCTTTTAGCCCT